TATTCAGCATAGAAATGTAGATAATCAAATTATAAATCCAATTAAAAGCACTTGCATGTAATACTATTCTTAAATGTTTGTCCTCTGAGTGCCGTATGTTTCATAGCAAATTTTCAAACGAAAATCATCCTGTATTTGGATGACAGTCATATGGATGTTCATCATCTAACGACGAATTCAACCATAAGAAAATCATCCGAAATTCGAATGCATATTGTTAAAGGGCTCGAGCAATGCAATAATCATTCGAAGTATTGCGGATGTTTTGGTTCAGTGTACGCGGAGACTTGAAGTATGTCTCCAAGTCTACAGGCAAAAAAATGTGCGTCCTTCTTTTGCTCATAAACTGACTGCGGTTGTGGAATAGTTCTAGCGACGTTTTCATCACTACCTAAAGCCCCACGTTGCGAGAGCATTTCCAGTCGATGGTGTGTTATAATGCAATTCGACAGTGAGCATGCATAAGGGCGTAAACGCGATGATCGATTCTCTTCGTCGATTTTCTCTTTTGTTAATAACTCGCTAGAACTAACGTTTCTCGGTGCATTTGCTGTTGCTTTTGATAGCCAATACAACCTGTTACTACTCTGCATTGAACAAATTCTAGAAAATGGTTTCGCTTAGCTGTAGCAATGCAAAGAGAAAATCGATGAAGAGAATCGATCATCGAGTATATGCCCTTATGAATGCTCACTGTCGAATTTTTCTTTACCCAACTATTGTGTTGGTCCTCTCGTCATGACCAACGTGATCATCTCAGAGAGAAAGCAGTAGGGTGGTTGTTGCGTGCTGTACCATCATCAGCATTGTTGACGGCTACTCCCGCCTTGAGTTGTTACATTCAAAGTGTTTTTTATGTTACTTCATACGCGAAGTTAGCGATTTTCAGAGTTGGTTGGAAATGCTAACATGAAGCTTTTAGTGTGATAATTTATTAACTAGAGAATGATCTTTAGAAGAGAGTAGGTGGATAGTTCCGTTAGGGTACGGCAGTATGAAAATTGAATAGAAGTTGAAAATGAGCGAAGGGCCATTAACACAACAGTACTTCCAGTCTCCGCGTACATCGTACGGGTTAGGCAAAAGATGTGCGTCTAAATTTAAAAACTGAAGCATTAATGGCCCTTCGCTCATTTTCAACTTCTATTCAATTTTCATACTGCCGTACTCTAACGGAACTATCCACCTACTCTCTTCTAAAGATCATTCTCTAGCTAATTAATTATCACACTAAAAGCTTCATGTTAGCATTTTCAACCAACTCTGAAAATCGCTAACTTCGCGTATGAAGTAACATAAAAACACTTTGAATGTATCAAGATTAGTTTTGAGGAAATTCTTGAAAAAAAAAATTGTGTAGGGTTCTGAAAATAATTACGATGTAAACAAATTTTCAAGATCTAAGATACAGCAAAAATTCAAGTTCTAGATTTGGGAAAGTTTTTACAATTACGAGACCTGTGTGAATTCTCATACTAAGAAGAGATTTTACTATCTCAGTTCATCAGGACTCTGGGGCACGGTTATATGAAATGCCGGGCTTAAAACTTAAAATAAATCATATTCCTTTGGATTTGGATGATTTTGGATCTTCACATATTGTCAAAATCTTGGACTTGTATAAATTTTTGAAACTTAAGGTTTAATGTCGTTCAAGATATTCCACACTGAGCAAAAATTAAATATTGAAGACTTAATTTTTTTTCTCTAAGATTCATAGGCTATAGGAAATGCTTTTTCAATACTCTCAAATTCTCTTTCCTTGAAGCTTGATCGCTTCACTCAAGATTTTTTAATCCTGTCCCCACTTTTGCTCGAAATTACCATTTCAAGTAGTTGAGTGAAATTTGAATTCAGCATTTCGTTTGTCCGCAATTCGATTTGTCAAATGAGCGGTTCGATCTATCAAACGGGCGATCAGATCTGTCAAACGAGGTGAGACGCAAACCAAGTCAATATAAATTGTACGTGTGTACGTGTCCTTGCTTACGATATGACGCGATCGGATGCGTAGATGGCGGTAGTGTTTAATGTATTTTAAATATGGCATCTTGGGCAAGAATTTGAATGTGGCTTCTATGAGCTGTCACGTCGGTTCGTCGGTGGTTATCCCTAATAAACAAATACCATAAACGAACCTTATCCCTGATGGGTAAACTATTCCACAAATGGTTTGGATGATACCCCGAACACGTCGTTAAGCTCTCTTTTATGGTTAATTTTATCAGGTATATCTTCAAACGCCTTCACAAAACATGAAATGTCTTCAAAATGTCTTCGAATTCAAAATGTCTTCACAGAATTTTAAATATCTTAAAATTAAACACAAATCTTCAAATTTTACATTCCTGGCCCTCATTACCGTTTTGATGGTTCCCGTATTCACAACCAAAGGCTGAAACGATCGTTTAGTTTTAATTGGATTCGTCTATATAGCAAAGGACCAAGCGCAATGACAGCGAAAGCGGAACGGCAGCGGCAGCGGAAACACCCGATCTGAGTAAGCCTACTTGTCGAATTGAAAACTAGTTAGAATCAAATCGACTTCGGTTAGGCATATTGACGTCATTTGTGACAACTGTCAAACTTGCCGTTTCCGTTCCGCTTCCGCCCACATTGCGTTTGGGCCTTAATAGATAACATACATAAATAAAATAAGACGTACTCAAATACGTATCTGTCATGGATACCAAAAAGAATTAAGTGGAATTAAATGGAAGATAATCGTTTTTGCTGTTTTATTTAAGCATTCCGCTAACAACCCAATTTCATTACTTCAAGATAACAGACGTTGGGGTTCAACATGATGGCGCTGGCGTTGCACAACTTACACTAGACTCTACGGACAATTTCATAGAACCTAGAGAGCCTGAATTTATAAATATTAAATTTGACAGGTCTTCTACTCGATTTGAATAACTTTACTTATGACTTTGACAGATAATCGATTGTTCCAATTTTGACAAGTCGTCTCTTTATAAATTCAGGCTCTTTAGTAGACATCACTGATATGCATCTGTTTTGTTTTTATTCAACACAGCTGATGTGATGACAGAACGAGGGAAAAGCAACTTGTAAGAAATGCATCAACGAGGGATGCTCCGGTTACAAATTAATGCTTGGGAATGTACACGGAGAAACAAATACTACCTAAAATTTGAGTTCTTTTTACTTTATGTTGAGTTGAGCCTCTCACTTGCACTCGTTATTGTTGTCAAAAACTGGAACGAGATACTCGACCCAACGATATACTTCAGCTCAATAAGTTACTTTTGAGTAAATAGCATATTCTTAAATTTACGTGAATTAAACTTAATTTTGGGTAGAATATACTTGAGGCCCAAACGCAATGTGGACGGATGCGGAACGGAAACGGAAAGTTTGACAGTTGTCCCAAAAGACATCAAGATGCCTAACCGAAGTCGATTTGGTTCTAACTAGTTTTCAATCCGACAAGAAGGCTTACTCAGATCGGGCTTTTCCGCTGCCGCTGCCGTTCCGCTTCCGCTGTCATTGCGCTTGGGCCTTTAAGAGTAAAAGGAAACTACTATATGTGATTTACTCAAATTTGAGTAATTGGCCTGAACCCGGAAATTGAGGGAAAAGTACTTAATTTTGGGTAGTTTTTCATCTCCGTGTACATGATGAAGAGTTTGAAGAATTTTCTTAAAAGAGTTATGTCTGTTTGTCTGTGGATAGATTTCGTAGGGAAATTCGAAAATCTGCTTATGCTGTGTTCCATTTGGTGAATTTTCTCTTAAATTTGATACTTCGACAACAAAATGTTGTTGATCAACCGATTTTAGAGAACGTGTCTCTCAAAACTAATTATTTGTCTGTCAGAAATAAGTTTTCTATTCTAGAAGGTTTATTTGAATATTTTTCTTCTGTCAAATTCAAGTGAAAATTCACCAAATGGAGTCTTATAGTACGTTCAGACTACAGAGTTATAGCATGTTATAGCGCTATCTTGATGGTGGTTTCTGTGTTGCAATTATTTGACAACCGTTATAACATGTTATAACTCTCCAGTCTGGACAGCGTTTTAGGCTGTGTTCCATTTTGTGATTTTTTTACTTAAATGTGTCACTTCGAAAATAAATACTAACGGTACTAATGGATATTTTGGTCACTATTTAAAATTTAGTCGATTGCTGAATTTATGTATGGGCCCAAATTAGGGGCATTTAGGCCGACATTACAACCATTCCCCTTATATGATTTGTAAGATGTTGAGGCTTAAGGTGTTGATTGCACTGTCGCGTTTCTTACAACGTTTTGGTCAACACATTTTGACTATTTTATGTTTATTTTTAGAGTGAGCGGTAAACGAAACCTTCGATTGAGCTTGGTTCTCCATTCACCGCTCATGGGAATGTAAACAAAAGTTATTTGTTTCTGCAATAATGTGTATAACGTCACAAATCATTAGCAGGCATTTAAAATGAGTGAATTAATCGGTAAAATGTATGTTTAAAACTTGTTTTGTGAACTTTTTCAGCAAATTTTGAAAAAAATGAGTGGTGATTGAAGGTCGAGCGGATAACGCGCACAACACGGTAATTATTCAGGAGCAAAATGGATGAAATCCTCGAAAAATTGCGAACCTATTGCATTTATTTTGGAAAAAACACTATTTTCGAGTAAATGGACGTGAGTGAATCAAACTAAATTCAAAATGCTTGGAGTTTTGAAAATTGTAATTTTTTTCTACTATGGTTGAACTTATGCCCCACCTTACTTCAAAACATTTGGGAAACGTCAAAGCCTGCATCAACCTTTACCATTTTCTGCACAGACTCATATTTTGGAGTTATGAATCAAACTGGAGGGTGGCCTTGCTTTCGGTAAAATATGTAACGGCAAGTTGAGAATGTTTGAAAAATCATTACTCAGCAATTTACTGATATATTGTAAACCTATTGATACCGAACTACAATTGATGGAAAGTGTCACATTGCTCCATCTGTTCCCCAGCAGCATACACACACAAAACTGACCTTCCTCAACCGCCGCCTCTCGCGCATCGTGGCCGCTTTCCGCCTATCAACCGTAACGCCCTTCTTCTTACATGCCTTGCAAGCCCACGCCAGACACGGCCTATTCGGGCTAGCCATGCATCCCGAGGCCGGTGCCAGCACGTGCGTTTCCTCCGAACTGCCACTATTATCGTCGTAATCGTTCAACTGCAACTGCTTCTGCCTGATCTGCAAGTGTTGTATGTTCAACTTCAACTTCTGCTCAGCCGTCAACCCGCTCCCGTTGAACCCACACAAGAACTCACTATCACTTGCTCCCCGATGCATAGCCCCAACAAACCCGACACCACCCATAAATCCACCACGTCCCATCCCCATGTTTGCCGTATCACTCTTATGCTCCATTTCGTAACCCTGCTTCATCATCGCTTGATTCGTCGCCGCCACCACGCTCGTCGTTGATGTGGTCTTTCTGCAGAGATTCTTGTTGAACTTGGTCATGGTCGGACAGCCAAAGGCTCACTTTCCACAGTGTACGCTCTCAAACACGCACTATCTTCACTTTCTTCGTCTTCGTTGTCAAAGAACCCACGTGCACATTCCTTTCCACCTTTCCACGATCCACGCTCTCAACACCGCGCGAGCATCATCCGGTAACCATCGACGACGAAATCCACGATCAGACTAAGGAACGGCTTGCTTTGATCCTAACAGCCAAAACACGGCACCAGCACGGCGGATCAGTGCGCGATCGCAAGCAACATGCTCGCGTGTTTGTCACATTGGTGACACTACTGTATCTGTTTTCCCGTAAAATTTTCCTCACCTACTGTGTGATGAAGAGCAACATAAACGAAAGAACACTTGCGACACTTTTCCACGTGCGTGACAAATTCGAATCTGCTTCTTGGTGGTGGAGTTTTTCCTCTTGTCTTTTCCTGCATTTCTGGAGGCGGGACTTGGGAACGATCCTCCCATCACCCGACGACGACGACGACGAAGAGGATGCTATCGTGACGGCGTGACACGCAGATGATCGGAAAAGTCTTGTTGGAATTGGACAACTTTTAATGCTTAAAGTATGTGTATACTTTAAGGCGTCAGATGGGAAGCTTTTTGATTTTCCCATTTTCCTGATTGCTTTTGATGATGCAAGTAGGTATTTATTTAACTCAAAACTTTTAGTTAAGTTCTGTTTGGAATAATCAGACTGGATTTGGTCAACTTTAACATGTTTTTATTGTAACCAATGTTGTTGGTTTTCTACTTTAATTATAGAAGAGACGACCCGTAAAAAAAAGAACGATACAGGTACAATGAAATGTATTGTAACCATACAATAGAATTTATTTTTCCTTAAATAAATTGTATTGTCAACAACGATAAAATAACCATAGAATATATAGTTTTCACAATATAATCTATAGTAAATGTGGAAATCTACAATAGAACAAGGTGGTTGTTTTGTATCTTAACCGTACAGAAAATCACTTTTTCCCGAATAAACTTGAGTCATTTACCATTAATTTTATTATTTTCCTATTGTTGAAAATTCATGCTCTATGGAACGTATTGTAGATCTATTGTAATAACAATATTTTAAATTTTCTTGTATGACATACATACAATAGAATAGATTGTAGGCAATAGATTGTGTTGTGATTTTATATTATTTTATGGTTATTGTATGGTTATTTTTTTCCGGGTAGGTACGCAGCACATGCACCGTTGAGACAAGATTCACTTCCTTCGTTTTGAGCCACACATTTTTACAACAAAATAGTTACCCTACGAGTTAAATCTATGTTTGCCTTGGACACCACATCAATTTGGAAGCTCTATGGCGTAACATTTGAAAAGGGCCTATCCTCGTTGATCGATTCTCTTCATCGACTTTCTCTTTGGTTTACCACGGTAAAATAAACCGACAGTGAGCATGCATAAGGGCCTATACGCGATGATCGATTCTCTTCGTCGATTTTCTCTTTTGTTAATAACTTGCTAGATTTAACGTTTCTCGATGCGTTTGCTGTTGCTTTTGATAGCCAATACAACCTGTTACAACTCTGCATTGAACAAATTCTAGAAAATTATTTCGCTTAGCTGCAGCAATGCAAAGAGAAAATCGATGAAGAGAATCGATCATCGCGTATTCGCCCTTATGCATGCTCACTGTCGAAATAAACGAATTTCTCGCTCGCACCACAGTTCGACAGAAGATGATGTTAGCTTGCGCCTGAATCAACACACTGAATGAGAAATTCATTTGCAGTCGGGTTATTCGCGAAAGAGAAAATCGATGCAGAGAATCGATCAACAATGATAGGCCCTTTTCTCGTATTGTGCGAGGTAGCAGATAATGTAAATAAAAACAAAAACCAGTTTGCATTGGATATAGCGTAATTTTGTCCTCGGCTTTGTTAATATTATTTAGCGATTCAAACATTATTAAGCATCGGTGAAAGATATTAACCAATTGAATAAGATAAGAGCTATATCTTTCTGATAAAATACCGGTAAGTTTTAATATGCATATCTATTTAATGCTCAAAAACATTTTCTTTATACATTCGGGGCAAAATGCTCTCCTAAGCTCGGGGCAAAATGATCCTTCAGTAAACAAGCTTTGTTTACGTTCTTTTCTTTCTTCAGAAATGGTCTGCAATGTTCCGAAGTCTATTTAGCGGTCATCGATCGGAATTAGAGGCTGTCAAAAAAGAAGACGTTCTTCAGCCTCAATTGGTCATCATCATTTTTAAGACGACAAGGAGAGTCATACCATGGACCCAAAGGGTAAGGACCTCCTTCACGCGATTTATTTTTTGGTTCACCTAGCTGTTTTTTTAGTGTACCTGGTGCACCCGGTACTAGAGCAAAAGACAGCAATTTGTACCAGAACAGGTGTCAAAAGTGACACAGACAGCACAACTGCCAGCAAAAGCGCCAGCAAAAAAAAACCGCGGTACCCGCTGCCGTGGCAGTCAGATTGAGGTGTGTCATATCCCTTAGCACGTTTCTTCTAGTTTCGCCATTTTGAGATTTGAACTCGTGACTTTGGCGTGAGAGGCATGGATGCTAACAAAAAAAAAGCGGAACTAGTTAAAATAGTTAATTATCTAATCTAATAGTTCATAAGCTCCAGGGCCCTTGAACATCATATATTTGGATTGTCCCCAGGAGGATTGTCCGCAGGAGGATTGTTCGAAGAACGATTGTACCCAGGAAGATTGTTCGAATTAGGATTGTCCGCAGGAAGATTTTTCAAAGGAGGATTGTCCACAGGAAGTTTGCTCGGGAGAAGGTTGTTCGAAGGATTGTTCGGAAGAGGATTGTCCGCAAGAAGATTGTTCGGGAGAAGATTGTACGAAGGAGAATTGTCCGCAGGAAGATTGTTCGGGGGAGGATTGTTCGAAGGAGGATTATCAGCAGGATTGTCCGCAGGAATATTGTCCGCTACCGACGAGTCGAGGAGAAAGATTATCCGGAGGAAGAGGATTGTCCGCGGGAGGATTGTTTGAAAGAGGATTGTTCGAAGAAGGATTGTCCGCAGGAGAATTGTCCGGAGGAAGATTGTCGACAGGATGATTGTTTGGAGGAGGATTGTCCGCAGGAGGATTGTTCGAAGGAGGATTGTCCGCAGGAAGATTGTTCAGAAGAAGATTGTCCACAGGACGATTGTCCGCAGGAAGATAGTTCGGAAGAGGATTGTCCGTAGGAGGATTGTCCACAGGAAGATTGTTCGAAAGAGGATTGTCCGCACGAAGATTATTTGGAGGAAGAGAATTGTCCGCAGCAGTGATGGAAAAGTTCATCAAAGTTCCCTATGACTCGCGAATTTTTCCCTTGGTGAACTTCGTGAAATATCGCGAACTTTTCCAACACTGGTCCGCAGGAAGATTGATCAGAGGAAGATTGTCCACTGGACGATTGTCCGCAGGAAGATAGTTCCAGGAAAGATCTTCAGAGACAATCAATGACGTTCAAGGAAAACGTTGGGGAACGACACTCATCCTGATGCATGTTGCTTCAAAAAAGATATGGCAACACTGTGACGGCATGCGAGCGGAATTGAAAGAATTTTCGGAATAGACAGAAGGATCAACAGGGATATTCAGGATCGAGACGGTTTTATGACAGGTGTGCAGGAACTCACAGTCTCCCAGTGTTGGTGAGTTCTTTGCCGTTAATGTTCACGAAAAGTTCACTATTTTGCTATACAGAAATTCAAAACAAAAATTTTATCTGCGGATTTGAACAGTTTTTGACCTGTTTTATACTACCGGAAGGTGTATGCTGGTCACAAATGCCGTGCCAAACTGATTTCCTACTCAATTAATCAATCTTTGATGTGAAATTCGCTAATAAACACGAGGCGCATTTCTTATAGCAAACATGCCATAACAAAATGGGCATGGTTCATTTAAGTAAACAAACTAACACTTCTTCCGACTGTTACACCTATGTATTAGCCGTCTCGATTCAGGATATACTGAAAAATAGACAAAAAATCGAATAAGGATGTCTGGAGAAAAAAAGTTCTGACTGATGTTCTGGATATATAAGCAGAATTTTATGGATAAATTTGATGGGTATACAGGATGCATCCGAATGTATCGTTCCCCTTGGAACATATAAAGAGCTTCAGAGTTCCGGATAATCTTCTTCCTCCACGTACTCCTTGACTCGTCGGTAGCAGACAATTCTCCTTCAAACAATCCTCATGCGGACAATCCTCCTTTGAACAGTCTTCCCGCGGACAATCATCTGACTGGCGGGATCTGGTCCATTCGGTCCTCGCTACACAAGGATCGTACCTGGGTCCGCCTTGCATGATTTCTAGTTGGACCCCCAACAATTAAGTGATAAAACTGATTCCATTTTGATCAACATCAACAATGACATTAATCCTAGCTCTGAAGTTCAGGTTAGGAAAAAAGTTAGGTTAAAACAAAACGTCAGCTATTGTTGGTAAACAAACCGACAGCATTGTTGACAGCATTCCCCCATGCACTCAAAAATATAACTACCCACAAATCTAAAAAACCTACTACTGTGTGCACTTCCATTCTATTACCGAGAACCATGATTTTTCGATAAATTCCTTCCACGCTATGGTCATACCATAGAGGCATAGAGGTAACTCTAAGACTAGAAGGTCCCGAAATAACGTGCTCACCTTTTTCGCTCAGCTCTGGTACTGTCTTCGGTCCCAAGCTAATCGATGCACCCCTCGAAACATAGTAAAATCCAAAAACCCCTCATTTTATCTGTAAAACTTTTATAGCGAATCAAAACAAACATTGTGTAGTACTAGAATTTCGACTAGAATGGGGTACGCTTATAGATGTACTTGGGAGCAATAGGCTAGTCAAGTAGTAAAATCGATAGTTTCGTCTTGATTGTTGGTAATAGGAATATGAAGCCGATTTAACCCCGATTCCCCCTATTGTATTGAATTATTCATGGATATCTTGGCTCGAAGGGAAAAGTAAATAATGTTCTACCTGGCGTAGTGGTTAGCATCCATATCTCGCACGCCAACGTCACGACTTCAAATCTCACCCCCGGACAAGTCACGAATATGACCCAAAAGTGTTAAAGTGAGTATGATAAAAAAAATGTTTCAAAATCGACCATAACTTCATTCACAGAGTCTTGTGGTGAACAGAAATCACTTTCATTCGATTTGCCAAAGATTTTTACATAGGATTAGCCCCATTTTATCGATCGTACATCCCTCCGAGCCAAGATATCCATGTATAATTCAA